AACAAGCTTTTTTAAACACTGCCATTCTTAGTAGCATGATTAGATTATCATTAAAGCAGATTTTGCATAAATTCCAGGCCTTCTGTTTTACTCGTAAGTTTCTCTCAATAGTAGATACATATAGCTCTTGGTTTCGTAGTAAATTTTGACATTCTTCGTGGGTTTCATCCTAGTAGTACACCATTGTAATAAATTGTCTTGTGTAGATCTTGAGCTTTACAGTTTTTACACTTTGCATGGCTTAGTTTAGCAAAGGAAATCTTCATATTTTTTGACAATGAAATTTTTATGCTTTGAATATGCAAGTGCAATGTGGTAGTGAAGCAATTAAATGCTAGTACAAGCTGCAGATGTTCAATTTAGATAGCAAATAAAATCTGTTTGGGACATGTACCCTAGCAGAGATTGATATTATGCCTTTCTATAGAGATTGTTTACCTTTCTTTAGCTCTGCTTCTCCTACAANGAAACGAATGTTGCCCCCTAAAATTATTCCTCATAAGGCATACATCCCACTAGTTTATTTCAAAATTGGCGAGTCACACTTCCCAGGTTTCCCTTGTTAGTGACCAGCTGTATCATTTTTCCCAAACCCTAATATTTGTAAAATAAAAAAAAAGATAATTGAATTAAGATGTTATTTTCAAGAATCAGGTTCTAAGTGGTGGTGTGGTCCCATCGTGAGAGGTCATTTGTTCTTCTTTTGACGGATGATATTTGGTAGTGGAATGAATCTTTTCCAAGTGGGTCCAAATTCCAAAAATTGAGAATAAAATTTAAATCTACCTTGTTCCAAGAAACATTTCCAGTATTGTCAATTACGTTTACCACATGGAAGCAAAATAGGATGTTTTTCCAGTAATATTTTTTCTTTTACCATATCAATCTTCTGAGCCTTTGACCTTTCAAAATATTTTTATTATCTGGACGATGGAGTACAAAGCTTGCAATGTACTCTAGAAATTTCAGTTTGCTAAAGAGAGCAAGTCGGTTAAAGTGTAAGAATTAATGTATCAGAATTTATCACATTTACTGGTTATCATTAATTTAATAATAAAAGGTAAATATAATTAATAAATATGACCATTCAAGCAAGGTCAGTGTAGTAATTTTCAATGCATTTGGCAAGAGATATCTAATAGACATGCATAAAAGTAATTTTTGGAGCAAATAGATTGACAATGTCAGTTTTTTGTTTACTTAGGATGCAGATGCTAGCCTTTTGTGTGTGCTGTTCTTATGTTGTACGAATATTCCATGCTAGATGGTTTAAATTCTTTTTGATTATTTTTACATGCTTGTTTTTAAGGCACTTAAAAACATATGCATACCAGGTCCTTAAACTTAAAAAAACAGTGAAAAGTATATTGGGCAGTGGCACTTAATCTTTAAAATAACATCAGTTGTGGTAACATCGGGAAAATTTACGCCGTGCCTTATCAGTCGGAAACTGGTAAGTGATTACTGGTGATTGATTAGAGATTGCTGGTAAGTGTATCAACACAAAAATTCAGTGTAGGGGAATGCAGGACAAATTTGTATATCGGACAGTAACACCAAACCTAGTAAGATTATCAGTGTAGTGATCGATTGAGCAAATGCCAACCGGGCAGTGGCACTTAATCTTAACAAAACATCAGAGTAGGATATACAACACAAATGTACACCATGCAATAGCACTTAACATTAAAAAAACATAAGTGCAGGGTAAAACGAGCAATGGCACTCACTTCCTTGTTTAATCTGATTATTAACGATAATAAATACAGGAACATTTTCATTAATCTTTCGAAGCGATAGTAAAATTTATGAACTCAAATTTTCAAAAATTATCAATCAATAAATCCGATGATATATAAAAAAATCTATCGAAATTTTAAAGCAATTATTTTAAATTAAAACATAAGCATTGACCCATATTTCATGCTGCTCCTTTTTTAAAAGCTCTACCAATCTGAGCAACGACAGATCACAGCACATAGACATATGAAAATTATCACAGCACATAGACATAAGAAAATTACATTAGCTTTATTAATGTCTAATTATTCACATTAAGCAAACTTCATTGGAAATTATTTATTAATAATAACAGCCCAATGTGCATAATTTATCACATTTCCCAAAAAACTTCGCTATTATTAATAATAACCAGATTTATTACTTTGACTATAACACATATAATCTTAAAAAAGTTTTTTGCTGAAACTCATGGCTGAAGAAGATGCTCTGTAAACTTTTAAAATCACTTCATTATCTTTTTCCACAACACGTTGAGGATGTATAAAGAGATATAAAAGAAGATTGAACAGGATTTGGAAAATCCATTATTCTAATTTCCAAAATACATGGATTATGTCGGCGCTGACAAAGAGCAAGTAGACTTACTTGATCATAAAAAGACCCATTTTCAGTAGCAAAACTTTTGATGAAATTTTTGCAAAATTTACTCATAATATTAAATTATTTAATTTACAAATCCCTTTTGGCAGAATTTCTTCAGGCTTTCTGCAACAAAACTCTCTAGCACTCATATCCTTCAGCAAGATTGTTTTAATAACAACAAAGGTGTATGTTACCGATTTAAATTAACAAAAAACGCCGAGTTTACAAAAAACAACATTATTTTCATTCAATATGTAATATTTTTTTATTCTAAAATTAAGGGCGATATTATCGCATTTTATTGGGGAGAAAATTACACTAATTCTTTCCAATATTGCATTCTGAAAATCATCAATTTCAAAAGAACAATTAAAAATCATGGAATCGTAGCTGTAATTACCGAAAAACAAATTGACGACGAAGTCACTCGAATTGGACTCTTCAAAAGGGGTTACTCAAGTTCATGTTTCGTTTCAAGATTTGATTGTTGTAATAAATAATATCGAATTTTAAAAAGTATATGGAAGTCAAAAGCAATAATTGCCGGGAAAATGATAGAATCGTTGCCTTAAAAAGTAAATACTCGAATGCACGATTCGAATTTCCCATATCGTCAGAAATATATCAGGAAAATTAAAAACCACATGAAAATCAATAACTGCCGAAAATATAATCGAACAACTGTATGGATTTAGGATACTATCGACATAAATTAAACGCCACAATAAGTGATTATTTAAATGCTCAATTACGCATAAATTTCTGCAGAAATGAAAACCAAAATTTTTTTCTTCCCAAAAGAAAAATCTTTCTGCAAGAACTGTAATGTTCTGCCACAGGGCGCAAAACACTTGTAAAAAACTATTTTTTCAATTGTATTAAATATATTTTCAAATAAGCATGCCTTTGATTAACACTAGATGCTGAAGAAATGAAGTGACAGAAGAAAAAAATGTAACTGAAAGAACTACTAGGTCATTGTTCCCCATCGGCTAGCCACTGGCAATACAAAATTTATTTTTCGTATCATCGTAAATTTATTTTTCAACTGCTGAAAAAGTCACCTTAAATAGATAGCTATGTAGCATTGTTTTTCAATTGTAATTTGGAGTTACATGTCTTTCCAAGAAAATGAAGATTTAGTCTTGCTTGGAAAATAAAGATTTAGTCTGAGTTATGCTAAAATAGAACTTCAGAAAACTGATTTTTTGGGTTTTTTTGTTGTTGCTATATGTAGCTAATTATACAACGATGCCAAAGATATTAAAATCTCATTTTGAAGTAGAAAGAGTGGGAGAGTGAGGTACTGTGCAGGGAAGGTGTTTTACTTTGACTTAGATTATAGGTGTTATTGTTAGTCTTGGAATTAATGTGAAATCAGAAGTTTGCTGAATGAGAAAACAGTGGTAGATATTGAGAAAATTTAGTCAGTGGACCAGTGACTAAAAGATATTCCAAGTTTGTACACATAACTGGGGCCTTTGCATGTCTCTAATAGTTTTTCCTTAAAAATTTAATAAAAAAAAACTTAAATAAAATGATTCATATACAGTGAATGTGTAATGTTCACAATTAAAACTAAATAAGACTATTTTATGAGTGCAAAATAGATCAAAACCTGAAACTGAATAACTGATAAACCAAACTAGAATACCATCCCTTTACATCGATTACTGGTTCGAGCTATTAATGATAATTATTTTTTAATGGTCTGAGTCAAAGTTTAAAGGTTCTAGACCAATGGACTACTGTTAATTTACCTGTGAAAAAATTAAATGGCTGAGTTAGTAATTAGAAGATTTGGTCAATGTTGGGCAAAGTAAAAACTATTTTGTGAAAAATGAATTTGGCTCACATTTTTTTAGGAAAAAATTTCTACCAGTTTACATTTTATGCACAGGTTAAATTAATCTTTTTTAACTATGAAATGTAAATATTTCACTTTTCATAGAATTTTTTAAGATTCTAATATTAGTTTACTTACCTCTAATCTGATTTCAAGGTTTTAGAATGCTATCAAATCTAACGCTCAGAGACAAAGATTCAATAAACCTTAAAGTGTATTCAATCATAAAATACCTATATGCTTTCAATTACTTAAATTTATCAGCCTCAAGCTTTTGAAACGCTCAGAGACAAAGATTCAATAAACCTTAAAGTGTATTCAATCATAAAATATATGCTTTCAATTACTTAAATTTATCAGCCTGATTTAGACTAAATATTTGTTGACTTTTTTTAAACCTAGTACTTAGAAGCAAACATTGAATATAGATTGACTAGATTTTTTAATTATAAAATCTTCATTTTTCAAGGAAAATATAGAAAACTTAAGGGAATTTGAAAGGTAGACGAGCTATACTTAGTAAAAATATAGTTTACAAAGATTGCTAAAATGGTTTGGTATTGAGGATAATAAACTATCTGGATAAAAAAAAAATAAAAAAAATCCTAGTTAATAAATATTAAAAGTTTAATTATAATGTATATGAATAACTAATACTTTGAAACTTTTACTTTTAGTAAAATACAAGTAAAAACACCTTGAATATGAAAACTATCATTTGAAAACAACAATTGATATCTGAAAAAATAATAAACCAAATAAAACTTACTATTTTGGAAACAAAACAAGGATAAAAAGTTATTTTATTCTAAAATCATCTTCAAGCTTTTGAAATCACTCAACTGAAAATTAATAAATGAAGATCATTTTCATAATTCACCAAATAGACATCAGTTTTCTAAGTAATACCAACAAAAAATTGAAATTAAACAAAAAAATTTGAAACAGCCATTAGTAAATCAATACTTATTAGAGATCTCAGTTCAAAGTGCAAAATAATAAGCATACCATTAACCTAACTATACAACAGTGTTTGCCATAATCGTTTTTAGAAGAGTGGCATATTCCACCTGCCCCATGATTTCTATAAACACACCATTTTTGTAAAACTAAGCTGTCATACCTTAAGTACACTGCCTTTACATTCATATTTCATTTTAAAGAAAAATTAGTTAACTGTTAAAACAATAATTACACACAAATTTATTTGTGTTTATAGGTTTCATTCTGATTACTATAACAGATATTTACTTGGTTAGGATTATTCTCAACAGGTTAAATTTTTGTAAGTTTCTCTTTTCTTTCAAGGGGGTATATTAATAAATTTCTTAAGTGATTTCAAAATTATTTTTAAATACCTTTTGTTAAAAATAAAAAAATAGCCACTTTTAAATGTTTATTTTCTAATAATTTTCAGTATAAATTATAGAAAAATCTCATAAGCTGTTTATCAAAAAATGATTTTTTTAGTTTACTTTTATTTGAAAAAAAATTATGCAGAGATGGTCTCTTAGTATGCCTTTAATTATTATTTATAAACTAAACTACAAATGTTTCTCTTATTTAGATAATGAGTGAAAATTAATTTTTGAAATATTAGGGGTCTGACTAGGTTTTTCTGGCAGGTACCTATTTTGTGAACATTTAAGACAAAATTTGAGAAAATTATAAATTATAATAAAAAATCCACACAAAAATATGTATTTATCGTTTCTTATGGGATACAAAAATAAAATTTTAAGAAAAAGTATTTTGTGATATTTTGTGAAACTACCGTTTTTCCTAAAGTCGAATTTGTGAAGGTACCGCTAAACAGTAGTAAACAGGCTAGTGGACAGGCCCTTGAATATACACATAAAATAGTTGTCAAGGATCAAATTCAGTTATTAGATGATAAAAAAGCCCCATGCTCTTTTTTATTCCTGGGGAGAACTCTGTATGAAATCAAATAAAAATGTTAAATATCTTTATTTGTGACAGTTATGAAGTTATTTTTAACAAAAATTCTTAGAATACTATAACAATTTAATCGCAAAAATAATAATAAATCAAAAATTTAACTGGTTTTGGGACAAAAAGTAAATTTGTTTCAAAATGTACCAAAGTGGATAAAACTGAAAAACATCTGAACCATTGCAGTCTTTGAGACTTATTATTAAAATTATAATTAACATATTGTTCTGAAAGCTTTCTAGAGAAAGTGTGGAGGAACTAATCCCTGTTCTATGGAAGAAAGAATTGGTTGTTATAGTAGTGCTGATTTCTAGTACATTTGCATCTCTTGTGAAAGAAGGGTTACTCAATAGATTATTTGAACAAAAACTTGATTTATTACGAAGTATTTTTAAAGTTAAACAAACATGCCCATATGAACAATATAACATATGGCTATTTGAACAAAACAATAAGCAGCATGTCCTTTTAATTGAGAGGAAGAGATGCATTTTTATAAGACAATTACATGCATTGATTGTTACGAAGAGAGTAAAATATTTACAATCGCTTTTTAGGAAATGTAATAAAAATTAAATAATTGTTTTAATTATAATTGGATTAAGAATGATTAAAAAAATTAAAGTAAACAAAATTAAAGAAGTTTTAAAGTTAGGAAATATGCAATGCCTAATAATGACATTACAGTAAGAATGTGATATTTTTTCTAATATTTTAGACCTACACTTTAACATACATTATAATTATGTTTCAATAAAAATAATTTGAATACTATCATAACTTAAGTCACTATCTAAAATAATAATGTAAAAAAGCAACATCTTACATAAATAAGTTATGTTCATATTTGAAGACAAAAGGGAGAAAAATTGGTTTTGTCCATAAAAGCTGATAAAAAAAATTTTTTTTAATGAAATTTTTTAAAATTTCTTCTAATTTTTTTTTAAAAATGAATTTCTAGGTTTGAGAATTTTTAGTAGCAAACATAGGATTGAAATCATGAAAATAAAAATAGAATTTGAAAATCTGGTTTGACAAAAACTGTTTTTTTTCCCTCAAAATTCCACCCCAATCAATAGTTCCTCACTAGTCTTGTGACTATCCTTCTTTTGTTCTTTTATCCATGAGTGGACAGGAAATGCTTTACCTAGCAGTGGCCGCTTTTCACTGTGGAATAACTTTCGGACAGAACCTATTTTCTAAATTTTTGATTTGTGAAAACTTAATAGTTCTCAAAATGCACAACATGTGCCATCTTTTTGTGAAAAATGGATATAAACTATTTTTCTCCCTTTATCTTAATTTTTATCTGCAGGCATATTACTGAAACTAGTTTCTACTTAACTAAAACTGGTTATGGGAAATTTTTTTTTTTTTAAATGTATAAAAGTGGCTAAAACTTAAGAACATATATAATAATTATTGTCCTCTTGTCCAGACTATAAGTTGCAAAAATTCTAAAGGCTTATATTTAAAAAAAAAAAAAACATAAAATTTTTAAAAAAATGGACCCCTAAGTTAATAAAGAAATGTTGCTTGGGGTTTAGGAGAGGATAGGTGGGTTTTACAGTCTTAAAATTGTCCTAAACTGACTAAAACTGTCCAAAACCTTGAACATTGGTAAAAGGCAAAAATTCTATATGTTTAACCATTGTACACATGATAGTTACAAATATTAATAATATTTGTTACTTTTTCTACAATTTGCTTTAACTTATTAAAGGAAAATATTATAATATAATAGGAAAAGATTAATAACTTTTGAAGCTCCACAATTCATTGAACAACAAAAGTGAATACCTTTAAATATGAATAAATATGCTTTTAATACTGAAAAATTATTGTTCTGCATAAGGATAAATAACGCAATATTAAATATAATAATGAATTGTGACACAACTTGAATAAAAGGGTTTTGGACAGGACAGTCTATTCTGTCCTAAACCTTGTGAACTCTGAAAGAAATGAAAAAAAAAAAAAAAATCAGATTTGTATTTGAAAATAAAAATCTGTTCAAATATATAAATAAATATATTGAGAACTAACTTATGATAGCTTGAGAAAAAAATTAAAACAAATAATTTAATTTTGTTTTAGAATTTTTTGAATTGTTAACTTTTCATTAGTAGATAATACGTAGCAACATGTTTTAAAATGTTTTGCTAAAAGTGAATACCTAACTAACAAATGACAGCCAGTTTTTCAATAATATTCACAAATTAATAGAATTCTAATGCATCCTATGAAAGATGAAGAAAAGAGTCTCAGTTCAGAGTTATGGACTTTATCTTCTGTTTAATTTTATAATTTTCCTTTTCGTCATTTTACTCTGTTTTAAAGTTTGCTAAAAAAAGAGGGAAGTTAATCATAAGGATGAAAACTTTTACTAATGACTAAGCTCACATATTGTCTTGAATGTTTTGCAGAGACATAAATATCAAATTTTTGAAGTGTAGAAATATATTGAAGTCTATTTAAATTCCTTGCGTTGAATTCATTTTTTGAACATTTTATATTTAGCATATGAGCTTTATTTTTTTTTATATATAAATCCTTTTTTAATGTAGTTGTTATACACTATCAACTTTACCGTATNAAAACTTTCACTAATGACTAAGCTCACATATTGTCTTGAATGTTTTGCAGAGACATAAATATCAAATTTTTGAAGTGTAGAAATATATTGAAGTCTATTTAAATTCCTTGCGTTGAATTCAGTTTTTGAAAATTTTAAATTTAGCATATATTATTTTAAATTTAGCAGCCCTTTATTTATTTTTTTTAAAAATCTTTTTTTAATGTAGTTGTTTTACACTTGCAACTTTACCGTATTGATATCGAAAAACACATTTTTAAGAGAATTTTGATGATGTCTGAAATGTCTGACATAATTGCTTTCGGCTAAAATTAATCTTTAGATGGGTCTCAATGTTATTTTTTATTTTTTAATAACAAATTGTTCTATTTTCTTTAATTTATATTGAATTTGATTTTAAAAAATAGAATAATAAGAAATTTTAATTAAGTATGTATGTTATGAAGATTTTTGAAGAAAGAAATAGTGGAAAATATTTTCAATATAACTGCATTTTTTTAATTGAATCTTGACCTAAATAAAACCACATATTCATAGAAATGTTTAAATTATAGACAGATGTAGCTTTATTACCAGTTGGTTGGTTTTAAAATTTAATGTTGAGAATAGTAGTCTAATTTTAATTATATAATTTTTGAAACTTTTTTGTNCGACATAATTGTTCTCAGCTATTTTTAAAAAAATACTTTTTTAATGTAGTTTTGTTTTAAACTTGCAACTTTACTGAATTGATATCAAAAAACAGATTTTTAAGAGAATTTTGATGATGTCTCTGAAATGTCCGACATAATTGTTCTCAGCTATTTTTAAAAAAATACTTTTTTAATGTAGTTTTGTTTTAAACTTGCAACTTTACTGAATTGATATCAAAAAACAGATTTTTAAGAGAATTTTGATGATGTCTCTGAAATGTCCGACATAATTGTTCTCAGCTATTTTTAAAAAAATACTTTTTTAATGTAGTTTTGTTTTAAACTTGCAACTTTACTGAATTGATATCAAAAAACAGATTTTTAAGAGAATTTTGATGATGTCTCTGAAATGTCCGACATAATTGTTCTCAGCTATTTTTAAAAAAATACTTTTTTAATGTAGTTTTGTTTTAAACTTGCAACTTTACTGAATTGATATCGAAAAACACATTTTTTAGAGAATTTTGATGATGTCCCTGAAATGTCTGACATAATTGTTTTCAACTAAAATTAATCTTTAGATGAGTCTTAATGTTATTTTTTTAATAACAAATAGTTCTATTTTCTTTAATTTATATTGAATTTGATTTAGAAAAATAGAATAATTAGAAATTTCAATTATGTATGTGTGTTATGAAGATTTTTGAAGAAAGAATAGTGGAAAATATTTTCAATTTAACTGCAGTTTTTTAATTGAATCTTGACCTAAATAAAGCCACATATTCATAGAAATGTTTACATTATAGACAGATGTAGCTTTATTACCAGTTAGTTGGTTCTAAAATTTAATGTTGAGAATAGTAGTCCAATTTTAATTATATAAATTTTGAAACTTTATTGTTATTGTCACTTTTGAACACATTTTTGGAAAAACTTAAGAATGAGGAAACTGCAAAAATGAGAAAGCTGAGATTAATGATTAAGTTTCAATGAACTAAATAAAAAAAATTTCTTAACAGAAATATAACAAAAAAGAATATATTAATTTAATTTATACAGTGAACTAAATGATAATGCTCACGTCAGTTTGAAGATAATTGCAAATGTGTTATACATTTTCATTATTAATAGTTTTAAATTTCATTACAAACTAAACTTGTAGAAATTGTACACTAATTTAACACCTATAATGGATTTAGGAATAGATTATATAAAAATGATCATAGAAATAAGTTGAATAATATTGTTTTTAATAACAATAATTAACTCTAAATAGCTTAAAGTTATTAAGCTGGATAAATAATTTAAGTTATTGATTAACAATTCATTAGATAAGGTATATATAACTGAACAGTAATTGATTAGCCAAATCAAAACTTACTTTGAATATTTTTCATATTATATAGTAATCCAATTGTTTTTCTCACCATCAATTTAATCAAAGATTATATTTATTTTACAAATTATCCAATACTTTGCAGCTCCAGTAATAAATTTCCTGCAGAATATTTTTTTTTTTGAAATACATAATGTAGAATTTAATGTTGCATAACCTAATTACATAGTATAGTAAAAATCAATACAAACCTTTATGTGTGTCAGATAATAATTTACAGGGACATTAATTATTTGTCCTGTTAACAAATAACTGTTACTTAAAATTTGTTAGAGGGATAAAAAAAAATTTTAGGAAGGGCATAAATCTTTGACCTGTTATATTAACAATAGAGATGATTAATTGATATAAAAGATACTACAGATAAGGTGGTAATAGGCTTTAAGAACCAACTTGAAACAGAATAGTACTGTTATTTATCTAAATACTAATTTTTTATTCCGCATAAAATATGTAGTCTAATCCTAAACAAGTCAGCTATGAAAGGGTAAATATGAGTAATATTTAGGTAATATGCAACAATTCATTAGATTTATGAAAATAGTAGTAGTTAAGTCAAATAAACATTTATTTTGAATATTTGTACCCAATTATAAGACATTTTAAAACAAAGTTTGAGGATAATAGTGAGCTTTATTGTATTTAAGACTGGAATTCAGATGAAGTATATAAAATGTCTGAACTACTAATTTAATACAATCATTAAAGTTAACAAAATTGTACGATACTAATAAAAAAATTAAATTATTCTATTTAAGATTGATCATTTACAATCATCGGTCGATAAAACACAAAAGAAATTCCAATAACGAGTAAAAAATTGATAAGAAATATTTAAATAAAGCAGACTTCAGAATCAAATCTCCTAAATATGATTCAAATAATTATTTTACACAGAGTTACAGAAATTTCATAAACAAAAAGCTGCTTACTAACACTACTATTTACAATGCGGAATATTATTGACGCATTTAAAATTCTTATTTACTTAAAAGGAATTTATTCAACACATTACCCATGCAACTCTTTAAAAACACTACCTTAGCTTTGAAACAGAATTTCATAGTTTTATTTAACGAAAATTACAACTTTATATCAGCAAAATTTACTTGCCTTCATAAGTGCTCTGTCAATCAGTAACCCTACATTTAAATCAATACAATTTTTTCAGTGAAGGAACACAAATGCAATTAATCAGATAAGCAAAATAATGCCTAGATACAGATAAAAATAATAACTCGACTATATTATTAAAAAAAATTAACTTATTTTCGGAGATCGTAATTATTTAAAGCAATATGTTGTAATCAGACTGGTAATCTTTCCTGCAGGAAACTAACATAACAATCAATCAATCATAGCCTCAATAAGAAAGGAAATAATACACAAATAAGAAGTTTAGCATTTATAAATTAAATTAATACTGCGAATTGTAAAATTTATTTAAAGATAAACTTACATAAACAAAAACAACTTTCAGAACTCACACCACAAACGACAATCGCTAGTCATCAACCCACTCTACTATTACAAAGAAAATAAATATCAAGCAATCCTGTTGCCAGATTCTCCTTTAACTAAAAAAGAAGTTCACGAAAACAAAATTCTTAACAGTTAATTTACCGTTCAGGATAGTTAAAACAAATCAATTTAAAAAGAATTAATTTCAGAATGAACAATAATGCACGAATTTACCTTTTTCAAACTAAATTCGCTGTTTTTGATAAATTTTAATAAGTTGACAATGTAGTGGTACAAAACTGGATTAGAAACGATACGATTACAAGTATATTCTTTCAAAGAAGTCGAAATTATCACTTTAATGTGCAAATAAATAATTTTTTTCTCTTATTATAGACTTTTTTGGAGCTTTGAATTGAACGTTTATAGATTTCGAGTATTATAAACAATTCTTCCCCTAGATTTCAAACTATGACGTCACTGAAACACATCCTAGTTTCCGTATGATTTCTTTGGCATAATTAACATGCAATATGAATAGTTATTAACAAATTGTACGAAAAGAATGATCTTAATTAATCCATTATTCAAAATGGTGAAAAATTTATTTCGTTAAAAATTTATTTTGTCACACCAGTGCCTTAGCAACCAGATTTCCTGTTCACAAGGGTCAACTAGAGTGCCTGTACTAGGGTCAACTAGAGTGCTCTCTAGGGTCAACCTAACGTTGGCAACGGATAATTTTTAATTGATAACTTTTTGCTTTAGATTTGTTTATGTATTTGATAAATCATCTTATTAATTAAAAATTAGTATAAAAAATTATACTAATTTATGTAACGGCATACATACAAATCATGTGAACATGATGACTGGCTCGGGTATTCATTGTGGCGTAACTACCACTACGAATATTAAACATCAATTCACTGGTATATAAAACATGCTAACTCGATTCAATCACGAGGTATCTTTTGATAGATGACGGTTGGCATGGTCGATAACCCCACCCCCCACATTCATATTGGATGGTAAAGTCACATGGTATGATTCAGCTTTTTCTGACGAAACAGTAGTTTCATTGGTTGTCATAAGTTGTTGTTGTTGTTACTTTACGTCGCACTAGAGCTGAACAATGGGCTATTGGCGACGGTATGGAAAACATCCCGGAGGATGATCCGAAGACATGCCATCACAATTTTGATCCTCTGCGGAAGGGATGGCACCCCCGCTTCAGTAGCCCGACGACCTGCGCGCGAAGTCGAGCACTTTACGGTAGCACAGTTTAACGAGGACCAATACCGCACACCCTCGGTCCCTACGCAGACTGATCCAAGTGGTCACCCACCCGCACACTGACCGTAGCCAGTGATGCTTGACTTCGGTGATCTGCTGGGAACCGTGTCTTAACGATCAGTCTACTGCGGGACCGGTTGTCATAAGAATAAAATTAATATAAATTATAATGAAGCATTCTCATTATATAAGCGATTCGCATATGCGATCACGCACATGGTCGTTCGGATGGTATGTAGCTGTGACTCCGAAACATTTTAACTATTCGGCAAATTTTGCTTGACCAGTCGGCATAATTACGAAGAATCATTTTCTCTTATTTTTTTAAGAAAATACAAGTCAAATTAAGGCCAAAGCGTCTTACTTTGTTTTAATTTCAAATTTTTTGGAATAATTAGAATGTTAAGCTCCGAGGATTGATAAACAAGAGCGAAGCTTTTAATGTAATTAAAATGAAATATAAAAGAAATATTGAGACATAAAAATTTAGGTATTAAAAAGAACTTTGTAGAAAAGAATGAGAAGCTAAATCTGAAGGAATTGCACATGACTCACCGTTGGTTAGCGGGCATGAACCGAAGCTCCTCTTGCAATTATAAAAGAAAATTTAGAGCTTTGCGCAGATAGAAATTACGAGTAGTCGATTAAATTAATTGGAGGCTCTTACAAAATCCCGTTGATGCTACGCGAAAAAAAAAAAAAA